GCAGTTCAAGCAGAGGCTGTGACAGAGAGAACACAATGAAGAGGTTGGCTATTATCTGTTTGATCAATGACATTTCTCTGCGCATATTATTCAATTCGCTGAATTTCTTACAATCACTCAACCGCTACCTATCTATGGCATGCTTACTGCATCTCGTTGACGATAGATGTCGGCAAATGACTACTGATGCGGTTCCGTAATTCAGTTGCGATTGTGATTGCTGATCTGTGATCCTTGTCTATTTCCTTTAGTACAGGGAGCATCGTGCGTCTACTGACACCGAGCCGAGAGGTAGGTTTACTCGTTGGGTCAAAATTGAATTTAAACCAACTATTCACATGAAAGTTCTGAATCACATTGAAAATCTCGAATAGTTTCGATATAATACTAGAATTAGCCCTCAATTGGCCTTGTATTTGCATTATACTAATCTGTTCACATAATTCAGGGTTTCCTAACCCGGCATTTGAATTCCGGGTCTCTCTAGGCCACTGACGGGTAGAGGCCATGTGTGAAACCACCAACTGTGGAGTATGCACGGCAAGCACCATATTACTTGGTTCGGTCGAAAATTGAGTGCCATGTGCGAGTATACTGATTGTAAAACCCGTATTTACCAAAGCAACTTTGGGAGTGCGTTCAGATCAAAAGGTAACATTTGATTATAAATGTGTCATTGTCACTGAATTTCAATTCAACGCTGAAATTCCTTCGGAGATCAATATCCAAACTTCACTTTCTGGTGCCATGCTTCGAATATGTCCATTTCAATCCAGTGCCTAAGTTGTTTCGTTCAAAAGCTAAGTGGTATCTCCGGTTCTCTTTATTTTTGTGTCTCGAACCTGTTCAGAAAACTTTTGTCACTGCCTCAACCTCGCGAAGAAAACAGCAACAAGAATTGTTAATTCGTGCTCTGGCTGCCGAATCAATTCGACGACGTGATGCCAGGAGACACTTCCACTTGACCACATTTCCCGTGCTGGAGAGAGCTGCCATAGAGCCGGCATTTAGCAAAGAACATCGTGAAGAAGCAATGGATGATGGTAGGTTGTATTGCATCATTCATTATTGTTGTTACAATTAGTTCAACGTTCACTTTCTGAAAGGCTACTTTACTATTTTGGTGTATGCGAATGTTTGTCTTAATAAATCACTGCGCGATTCTATTGAAAATGACAACGTACAGCAAGTTCCCCTTGGCTCTTGAGGTGATCCAAGCCTTCAAGATATCACCAGCTAAGGAGGAGCTACATGTTACAGTTTCTGGACTACGGAACATAGGCCAATGGTCTTGACCAATCAAAGGCCATGGAGATCAAACAGAAATCATGCGACTGGGAGAACAGGAACGTTTATTGGTTGATTTCCGTTTAAACAATGTTATTTATATTCACATGTTATTCATTCCCGTTGATTTCTCTCAATAGAGTTAGCACTATCTCTGTGGCCTTCTTCCCGCATTGGAGTGGTGGGAGATTTTGGCATATGATTATCAGTACGATTCTCTCTTTTACCTGTGATCGCGATTCGTGATTCGCAAGTTGAGATTGCTGTCCACTCCGATTGTTATGGCTCTTTAACGTTTCGTAGCCTCTGTTGGTTTTAGGCTATTTACGATTGCACAAGCAAACCATGATGATCAGTTTTAATACTGGAAACAGAATAAGGATTCATATTGCCAAGTTATTTAGTGGAAGGCACAAAATAACTGGGTGATGATTGTCAGGCGACTAAGGCCATCAATCGGGTGGCTCTAAAGTAGTGTGTTCGAATCTCACCGCCACCACTATCTATCATTCAGTTTTCGTTGTCTTTAGGCAATGTTTAACTGACCGCATTTTCCTTCCTGTACATTGAATGTGCAAGCACCTGATAGTTACATTAAAATTAACTTGAAACGCTCAGAAACTAACCCCATTGGAAGTATATTTAACTTACAAATGCAGAGTTCATGGAATCTATGAATAATGCTGGCAATGATGATGCCATGGACGAAAAGTAAAAAATCGCATTTGTTTCGGAGTGGCAAGATCTAGGTAAGGAAGTCATTGTTGATAGTAACTCCTCCATAGCCACATATATGCTTGGTAATCTACATTTCTGCCCATCAGCAATCGTTACAGTTCACTTGTCCGCCAAGCGCTGCAACCGCAAGAGTTGTACAAAGCACCCCTCCCCCGCTACGCATTGACCTCAGTATAATTTGATACGTTTCAGTGTGGATCGCTTGCAGCAGCGTGACCAATGTTTGCACTTCGAGGCCAGGGGACTGCCAGTCGCTTTTAAAGAGTTTCGGGTTTTGTCTATAACTGGATAAAGAAAGACGTGGGCTATCTCTTTAACACCCTACAAAGCTAAGCCGTGCATTTTTGTCTATTGTCCAAACAACCGAAGAATGTGGAGGTCAGGAACACTGTAAAGTAAAGAACTATATCATGTGTGATTCAATAAAGCTGTCCTCTGTCACATTTCATTCTATTCAGGTCCGAACTCCTCCACAGGTGTGGGTACAGGAACAGTAGGTGGTACATCCACTTCAACAGGGGTCACTGGTAGTGGTACGGGTGCAGGTGGCTCTGGCGGTAATGCAAGTGGCGGCGTTGGTGCCAGTACCGGAGGAGCTGGAGGTGGTGCGACCAGTTCCATGCAAGAGGAATTCGCTGCCGCTGTTCGTCGCCTAAGTGTGGCTCCAATCAATCGAACTTTATGGAATCAAACCCGCAACTCATCTTGGCGTCAAGGATCGATCCCATGGTTTCGAAATTGTGCCGTGACACATGACGGTTAGTTTATCTTATATTTCTTATTGAATAACATACTGTTATCAATGCAAATATTGTTATAACAACTTAATTTTTGTGTTGTCTATAGACGTTTTCTGTAACCATAGTACCTGTATTCGTCTCCAGTAGTCAGCCCATTATTTGACAATTCTGTTCTCCTTTCCTTCTGTGCGCTGACAGACGAAGACCGCGGTGGAACCCATTCTTTGTTCCCATCACAACCTTTACAACAAGCTCAGTGCATCTTCCCCTCCGCATTGTGTGCTGCCACAGTACCTTTGATACATCTCCTGGATGATACTTCAGTGAATGAACAAGGAATGGCTGGTAATTACCGGGAGTTACGTTTATAATTATCTTCATGATCAACTAGTTTGCTTCATATAGATTGATAGTTCATTCATGTAATATGTGTGTGTGGTAATTGTTGAATGACAACGGCTTTTGAGAATCTTCTGTACATTGACGAGTCTTTAAAGTCGTTGTAACGGAGACAATACAATGTTTCAAGTGAGATTTCTGTTCACCAGCTGATGTTATGAATGGAATGGAGTTTCCAAATTTTTCCATGTAACCCAAACCTATGCATGATGTTTCACTGCTAAGTGGCTAATCTTCAAACTACAGCCCAATTATGAATCCTTTCAAATGTATCTATATCTTATTCTCTTTGCTAAAGGGTGATAAATAATCACTGCAATGAATTCTTGCGAATATGTCACTATCAATAGAGAACATATTTCAACAGTGCGCTCCATCAAATAATTCGGATTCGCCATTTCCCGTAGCCTTGTTTCGTCTCCTCGTGTCACGGAGACATTTCAAAAAGTCAGAAAACTCACGTTTTAAGTTGTCTGTTTGAAACTTTTATCTAACCCCACCCACCTAATAAAGTGTTTCGTCTTCTCTTGCATCCTTCCCCAATAGCTTTATTCAGTTTTCCTTCCCGGTCTTCTTATCAAAGACTTCAAACTCATACGTAGATCAAACACGTATGTCGACATAGTGGCATGTCTGGCGAACTTGCAATTTATGAACTCACAGTACTTTAATGCTTGCCAGAAATTTTCTGCCAGGATACTTCTAGACCCATCTAACACTCTATTCACATCTTTGTAAATGTATCCCCGCATTTACCACTGGCTCCATGTACAAGCACGCAACCGTATACACTACAACATACATATATGATGTTATACTGCACACTGCCCGGTATAATTTATAGCCTTTAACTCAGATTTTGCTTAATTCGCTTAATCGCTTATGTTTGCAGTGTTTCGTCATCCTTTTTGCCTCCAGGTTGCCATTTCTACCACACTCTAGTGATTATGTTGCAGCTGAATATTCATCCTTCATGAGGTGAATTAAAGAGGTTTCTTCATTTGACTTAGGCTTTGGAACCCACTCAGCATTAACTTTTTCATGTTATCACTTACATCTACTTAAAAAATTTGTAGCCTCTTTTATGGTTGACTTACTGGACCGAAAGCTAGATCCGTTACTGCCCACTTCACGGAATTCAACTGCCGCGCTTATCAGCTTCAAGCTCCAGCTTCTCAATGAGGTCACAATGAGGTCGTGGTGCGGACAAGCCAACAGGTATTTGGCTTACCTGGCCATCAGTGTACAGCACGGGAGAGGTAAAATCAGTCTCACATGTTATCCTTCGCAATGAGATGAGATGTGGATTAGGTTCGGGGAGGGGGGGGCGAGAGGAAAGGAGACGGAAGTGCCCATATCCGTGTGTTGCAAAGTCAATTCGCTTATGGAACTACTCTCCCAACGGCCACTTTGGTCTTGGCTATCCGTAACTGGAGTTCGGCAATCCCTAATTTGGTTATGACAAGGCTTAATTTCAAATTGGCAATCTGTTTAGTTTGAAAGGTCTATTGTTCTGGCATCACAACAATGCCGTCACGGCGAACTGGTCCTAGCCTAGGTTTTCTCACATCCTCTTCGAAAAAAAGTTGACAGCTAACATGATTTATTTCACATCGTCATAGACTCTACCTCCAGCTCGATTGCTCCATCGTTTTCAGTCGGCTCATCCCTCTCACCCGTGACCTTAAGCAAGTAAATTCCCTCTGACTCCCTAGTCTAATTGGATCATATTCCGCGATCTGCGGCGCTTAAAATCCCCAACACGAGACTGTCTGATTACCGGCTTGTACGTTTTGTAATGCTCCTGTTTTTATGTCCAATCCATCCGTGTGCTGATGGCACTCCTGCTGCTTAGTTGAAGTTCACTGGGCCTGCCTGAGACTNNNGTTTCTCGCTCGGGTTAGCTGGGCAAGCACCAGGTCCCTTGTTGCGGCTGTTCCCTTCGATCGATCGATATATGAACCCGATCGGTCGTGTGATTTTCGGGCCGGCACAGGAGGAGGATTGGTTCAGAATCC